AGTTCCATAGTGCTTGTCAAGAAGAGTCAAGTCGATGGGCTGAAAATAATAGCGTTGGTTAGGCTTGAAATTTTATAAGGCATAATGTTTCTGAACGTACCGAGTAGGAGTCGGCACCCCAAGGCAGGTTGATAAATGGAGAGCCAGCTATGTAAATTGCCTATCACTTGTTAGAGCATTTATTATCATATTCCGGGCGCTGGTATCAGTCTACCTTGATTCCCATTCCAGCGATGTAATCCAGGGAGTCCCTCAACCCTTCAAGATCTCCACCAAAGCGAAGCTGGGTACTCATGATATCGGACTCGAAGAGGGTCTCATTCTTATCGTCGTTGACAGGATCTCCATTGACATATCTATCGAGGAAGATAGTGTAGAATGGAACTCTCCAGTTGTCTGGAGATTCAGCATACTTGAAATCTGTTGGCCGTCTGCCATTGTAATCTAAGGGGTTCTTGGCTGTGCGGTTAGTATTTAGGTTCCAAGCATCTTCGCTGGCGGTGTATCGAAGGCCGGAAACGAGTGTCGTTAGTGAAAGGAGGGTGAAGAGAAATGTGCTGCAAAGGAACGAAAGGTGGGCCATGATCACCGTCGCTCGCCTCTCATAGGGAGCGAAGGAGGGACGAAACGAGGGACAAGACGGCTAACAACAAACAAAAACGCAACACTTCATGAATACGCCACGAAAAGAATGAGGTTGACGATGGTATTCATCAACAGGTTTGGAAAGAAGGGAAAAGACGCGACATTCAAGACCAAGGTTCCCAACACAAAACACGTTCAAGAGACAGCCCTAGCTGCCTCCAACCCCACGAGAGACTCCATCCTCGCTGGTATCCAGCAGCATCCAACACAGAGAAGGATGGGAAAAGGGGCGATGGAAAAACTGGTCAGACCTTGCTAGACCGTGGAAGCTGGTGGATGTGACACCACTCCTCTGGCACACTTGTTTCCTCCACTCACGCAGAAGATGTTTGGAACAAGGGTAGGGGCAGTTGGCCATTGAGCCAATCGGCCCTCACAATGTCGAGATATCCTCGTAAAGCTCGTGGACGCAAATAAAGAAGTCTCCTCTCCCAGCAGTTCCTAACCATCTCAACGTTGACATCATTTTAACGGAACCTCCACTGTCCGTAGGGGGTTTACGTGACAAGCCGCGAGAGCCGGCGAGAGTCGTCCTCGGAGTCGGGAAGAGATGGTTGACGCAGGGTGGAAATGCCCTGGTTCCAATGCAGATGGCAGCTGAGGGCACAGCACCACCAAAGAAGCTGGCAACGAGAGTGGCGGACAGCATCCTGCAAACTACTCCACGCCAAGATAGTCGAGCCCCAGTCCAGCGCCCAGCCCAGTGCATCATCCCAGTGGTACCTAAAGAATTGTATACATGGGGTCGAGTTCGCGGACTTGACCGAAAATTACAGCTTTGAGACTTGAGAGAGCTGCTGGAAGCACCGTGGTCCACCCCAATTCCACTGACTGGTGTGCGGCACTGGCGGTGTTTTGTGCTTTGTATGATGTTCATTGTTTCGTTGTTGCAAAACCTGCGTCGGGACAGTGGAGATGCCATCTTGTTTTTGCCCTCTCTTCTCCATTGTTTTGTCAGCGAGCGAGTATGGCCTGCTGCGAGGTGGCGCCTCACCGGGTGTCGCTTGTCGCTGGTCGGTAGAAGTCGAGTCTCGCGCCGACGATACGACCCAGACGCAACACTGTCTTGCAGGGATATTCGACGTTAGGATCGGGGGCAGCGGCAGATAGGCATGGCCCCGCTGGATCGGCCTCGGGAGCCGGGGGTCGTGTTCGAGATTTGGAGCGTAGCGTGGCAGCGTCGCACAAAGACCATGCTGCCGCAGCCACTACCGTTGACGTGCCAAACGGCCGGGTCGCTGAGTGTACCCTCAGGTGAAGGTGAACAGACATGGGAAACAACAGCAAGTAAAACCAGGATGCATTAGAGGAAAAAAGAAAAACAAAAGGAAGCTGGTATGTGATTGATCCAACTGATAGGAATCGGACTTGTTCAAAAGTTAAATTTCATTTGCATCGGATCATCTGGCTGGTTTTTCGACAGCTTCCATCGGTGCTTCCTTCCACGTTTTGGATCAAGAGACCAAGTTCCAGTGGCAGGGGTCCGCGGAACAGACTCCACTGTGGAGGACCTCCCCGCATCGCTATCCCTGCTCCATGCTCGTCATTCAGCGCCACCGGCTGCCAAACCTTCCGTGTAAAAGCTTGGCCATTACCCGATCGGACCGGCCATGCAAGCAATAACGACGGCGAGGAGAAAGGAGCGTGACGACTCACCTCATGTTTTTCGTTTGAACCTGCCCGAATCAGTGAAAGACGAAGGCGGTCTGCAAAAATGCTTTAGGTCTGGCACATTTGCACCTGAAATGTTTTGCTTCGGCTTTGCAAAACCCACTATTTTATACCAAATAACCTGTTGCGATATTCTGGAGCCGACATGCAGCATACACGACTCAAGAGACCAGGATATCCCAAGGTGCTCGATGAATTCCATATTTTCACAAAGTCCATCACAGTGTCTGCCATTTCGACGGACTGTGAGATAATGGAGATAATGTCAACTCTCACCAGGAGATCCCTTCGACATCGTCTTGGTAGTCAGGCACACACGCCGCGGTTCCGAAGGGGCCTGTCGCCAATGGTCATGCCGTTGACACGCCTCCATAGCTCCTTTCCCCAGAGTCCTCCCCATTACTTACAGACACCGAGACGTACGCCATCTCCAACGCCTCAACGGTTGTTCCCACGTTCGTTTTTTGTACTACACAACCACATCACGACCCTCTGTGGCGTGACCACATTCGTTTATTTCCCTTCCTTTCGTCGTCCCCGATGTGGTAGGAGAAAGCAGATCAAGAATTCCGACCCAAGTCACTCGCTAAGAACACGAAAACCATACTAAACACAAGAATATGCGGGCATCAATCCTTAGCACCGTTACTGCGGCCGGCCTTGCATTCTCGGGCCTGAGCAATGCGGCCGGCATCGAAGAGTGGAAGTCCCGGTCCGTCTATCAGGTCATGATCGATCGCTTCGCCCGTACGGATGGCTCATCTGTGGGTTGTGAGATGCATCTCTTCTGTGGCGGCACATGGAAGGGATTGACGAATAAGCTCGACTACATTCAGGATATGGGCTTCACTGCCATCCAAATCAGCCCAATTGTCAAGAACATGGAGGAGCACACAGCCGTGGGTGACGCTTACCATGGATACTGGTCAGTGGATAACTACAAGCTCAACGACAAGTTCGGAACCGAGAAGGACTTTAAGGAGCTTGTTGCCGAGCTCCACAAGCGCGACATGCTACTCATGGTCGACGTTGTGGTAAACAACATGGTCCAAAAATTCGATAATGTGTTGCCCCCCAAGATCGACTACTCCAATTTCAACCCCTTCAACGACAAGAAATATTTTCACTCGTACTGCAACGTCACCGACTGGGAGGATCCCAAGGTCTACCAAAATTGCTGGCTTTATCCTTACGGTGTCGCTCTTGCCGACCTTGACACTAATTCCCCCGTTGTCGTCGAGGAGCTGGGCAGCTGGGTCAAGGGCCTAGTCAGCAATTATTCCATTGATGGTCTCCGTATTGACGCTGCTAAGCACGTCAACGATGAATTTCTCCCTGCTTTCGTCAAGGAATCCGGTGTTTTCGCCTGGGGAGAGGTCCTTACCGGTGTCACCGACGACATGTGCCGCTACCAGACCCTCGGCCTCCTTCCCGGCATGCCCAACTACCTTGAGTACTACCCCCTCAACGAGGCTTTCAACGGTGGATCCTTCGAGGACCTCGCCCAGATGAAGGACGAGGCCAGATCTGGCTGCAACGACACGTTTGCTCTTGGCAGCTTCGTAGAGAACCACGACATGCCCCGCTTCGCCAACCGCAACGATGACATTGTCCTCGCAAAAAACGCCATGACATACATTCTCCTAAACGACGGCATCCCCACTGTTTACCAGGGCCAGGAGCAGCATTTCAACGGTAACAGCACACCCTTCAACCGTGAGCCCCTCTGGCAGTCCAACTACGACAAAGAGGCTCCCCTCTACGTCCTCACTTCCACTCTCAACAAGATCCGCAACAATGCCATCAAGCTCGACAAGAGTTATGTTGAGTCCCCATCTGAGACTCTCCGGGTTGACAACAACCATCTCTGCCAGAAGAAGGGTTCTTACGGCTCTCAGGTTGTATTCTGTATCAACAACAAGAGCAGTAACGGAGACAAGTACGAGATCAACGTTGGCGGCTTCCAAGCTTCCGAGGAGGTCGTCGAGGTCCTCGCCTGCAAATCCAACGCTGCTGATGGCACCGGCACCATCACCATGTACATGAACAAGGGCGACCCTAAGGTGTACGTTCCTGCCGCTGCCCTCAAGGACACTGGCATCTGCAAGGAGACTAGCAAGGATGGCCCCACCAGCGGTGCGGCTTCTCTTGGTATGACTGGCGGCATCGGCATCGGCATGGCTGTTGTTGTTGGTTGGGCTGCTCTATTCCTTTGAGTATTTATGGGAGGGCCGATTAGGGTGTGTGCAGGTAATACAGGGCTTGGTTGGATTCTAGGAAAGCATTTTGGGAACCATAATAATTATCATTGCATGCCATACTTGGCCATATTATTCATTGACCTACCTCTGTATCATATGGTGTATATTTATCATCTTGGATCTTGTGTGATACATTACCAGTCTTATTTATCAAGATGGCGCCCGCGATTCAGCTTGTTGAAAATTTAGGAATTTAAATACATCTGAAGTTCGAAGGAAATGCTAAATTCTATATCTATTTAGTTGGCTTGAGAGCTAACACTAAACTACACATGGGAAGTAAAAAAAAATACAAAAGAAACTGGCCAAGGTTTAAATAAACTATTGAGCATATACCCGTCTTTTTTTGCCTCTGCATCTCTAATGGTAAGTAGTCGTGTGGAGTCCCCCAAATAAAGCAAATAAAAAAAATTAATTTTGAGACTCGGATACCGGGAGTCGAACCCGGGGCTGTTGAGATGAGAACATGTCACTTCTAGGAAGTGAGAGTCAACGATGTTACCGCTACACCATACCCGATTTTGAAACAATCGTGCGTGGACCCGATTTGATTGGAGAAGCGAGCCGACACTGCGGGTTATATCCATCTACTACTACTTTATTGGCCTTTTTTTTCTTTTTCTTTCTTTTTCTTAATCTACTAATTTTCGAGAAAGTCTTTATGTTATGTTTCTGATTTGTTGGTGTTTTTCTACAGGAAGCTGATGACTGTGTTGTGTTATTTGAGTGTTTTTTTTTTTTTTTAGGTATTAATATGATCGGTCCGGTCCACCTATGGGACCCTGTCAATGGATCATGTCACGGTGTGGGTGCCACTCCCATGAAATACAGGTCAACGCTACATAAGAAAATAAAGGCAAGTTTGCGGAACGAAGGAAAGATACCATATGTAAGTATGTAGATAGGTTATATGACAAAACAAAGTTAAAAGCTGCCCCCCACGGGAACCTATTCTTCTCCCTTCTTGATTCTTGGAATGAGGTTAGAAAAAATTGAACACAAAAAACTTGAAAGCGATCTCGTTTTCTATTTTGTGAAGATTAATAAAAAGAATATTAAAAAAAAGGAAGTGAATATTCCTCCTAAAATTTCAGCAGATATTCGTCTTCTATATATTCGTTAAAAATCATTTAAATGCATCATGCTTTTATCATCTCTTCTCAGTGTTTGTGTGTGCATCAGCAAAACTAGCTGGGAATACTACTAATGCGCCAAAGTGAATGATTGTTGTGATAGCACTCATCATGATGCATCTTGCGGTTATTTGTTTCACGTCAATTGCTGGTACTTGAGCTATCATGTTTCATTTGAAGCCTGTTCCTTCCCCCACTAACAGCGACGGTTTTCCCCGGCCACACCCCTAATCGGTCCCGTGTAGTTCTCTCGCGAAGAGCCCAGTCATCATCCGCATGTCCGTGTCCACCCGTTATCTTCAAGTTGAATTCCTGTTGGTGCCCTAGATAGGTATGTTTGATTGACATTGCAGAGTTTGTCTTTTCTTGGGGAGGTAGTAAATCGCCAAGAGGCCCGGTTTTCTTCTGTCATTGATTTTAAGCAGACTGACGGATCATCTGGATGATGGAAAAAAGTCGTCGGCCGGCCTTTGTTTGGAGTATGGTGAATTTTTTCGTTTGCTGAACTTTCGAGATCTGAGTCTCAGATAACTACTTGAAGACAGAACTGCCCCTCCCCCTGGTGCTCATCATCCCTCATCTTTGAGCCGGAGTTTTGTTTGCTTGGCTTGTTGGATTTCTGATGGTAGTAGCGAACGTGCTTTTTTTCTTTTCTTTTCTTGCAGTCTTCTTCCCTTTCAATGATGTGCAAGACCCTTCATAAAATTTTGTTTTTCAACACACTCTCTCTGTCTGTTCCAGGCTGCGTGTGTCAGATCTGGATCCCACCAAGTCCAGCCCACCTCAAACTCTTCGTGAAATGGAAACTGACATTTTCGAATGATTGAACTCCAGTCCTCTGTCTTCAAGCCTTTGAAGAACTCCCCCTTCCTCCTCCCCCTTCATCATCCATGAAATCGGACGACGGCCCGCCGGACTCTGGTGACTTATTTCCGCTACAGGCTTTTACATAGCGATGTCTCTAAAAATTTTACAGGATCAGTATTTGAGACTTTTTTTTTTTCTTTCCAACCTGAAATTTGATATACTCACCTTGAGCGCATCTTTCCGCGAGAAGCACTTGTCACAATAAGGACATGGAAACGGTTTCGTAGCCATATGGATCCTCCGGTGCCTCTTGAGATCGTGATTTCGGCTGAAGCACTGCGTGCACAAGTCACATTTGAATGGCCGATCCTGCTGGGACGACTCTCTCACTACGGGGTAAGAGCCGACACTGAACTCGTGGAACGGTCCGCCCATGGATTGTGGTCTTGGAAGTCCGTCGGGAATATAACTCCCCTGTGGAGGCATCGGCCGGAGGGTGTGGTGCGCTGGAGGGGCCATACCGGCCGGTGGTGCCAAGGGCCCATTGAGAGGATGATGACGGGAACTTGAGGAATGGTTGGGTGAGTGTGGATGTGGATATTGTGATGCTGGTGGCAAGAGACTGGTGATGGGTGGTAGTTGGCCCGCGAAGCGAGGAGGCGAGGAGTGAGAAGGTGATCCTGGTAACGGCTTGCGCTGCTGTGCTAGAGGTTGTGAGGAGGAAGATGCTAAATAGCCGGACCCGCCATATGGATAAGATGCAGAGTCCGGATTCCCGGGTTTTGGATGTGACGGCATGTTGATGGGTGGATATGATCCGAGAGTGTTCCTCGTGGTGGTGGAGAATGAGGATCGGCCGTTCCCAGGCGACAACTGCGCACCGCCTGCCGGGGAACTCTTCCCGCCAGCCGGCGAACGCGGGCCGTCGGATGTTGGTGGTAGGGAAAATGAGGAGATTCCAATCTTTGCGAGATGTCTTCGTGAGGTGGACGATGGGATCTCGTCCATGGTATTATTGACACTCTCTCGCTTGAATAGGGGGCAAACACGAATTTTTTGAGCAGGCTCTCGGCGCAGTGTGATGTTCTGGGGAAAGATCCAAGTGCGGGAAGATCGTGACTCTCGCGGCAGCCATCTGATCTGGGTCTTGCATCTCAGCTGAACGACCCCCCCGTCTTGTGGCTGTGCCCGAACAGGCATCGCGCAGAGCGGGCGCGCTTGGCAGCAAGCCTCTTTCTTACCCCCCCACCAGTCATTTTCTGCATGCCGAGCAATTTTTCTTTTCTTTCTCTTACTTCATCCCGCTCGGGGGAAGCCCATGTCATCTCTCCCTCCTCGCAGAGGGTGTCACTTACACACACGACATCGAGCACAAGCAACCTCAGAGTCGCAATAACGTCTTGGCATCTGCAGGCGGGAGCAACGGGAGAACTATTGAGTTGGTGCTTGGCAACATGCCATGCCCCTGAGACCCTGGGCTGCCTCTCCCGTTTGGGGTCTGACTATTGCTCTCCCGCAGCGAACAGACGCGAGGAAGCCTCTGAAAATAGAATACATGTAACCCTTCCCCTCCAATCCAACCAGACTCCGCTGCTCACGTCCGAAGGCTGCGTCATTATCACGGACGAGCCTATGGGAAGATTCAAATCAACCTGCGTGGCTTGACGCCACCATGTCGATGATGGTCAAGTTGGACCGCGTCGGTGGATGAGAAGGGTAAAAAATGGGTTCCAAAAAGGGTCCAATGTTTCATAAACCTGCTCCTCTGACCACATCAGGAACCAATTATTGTGCAGAACCTAGTCCAACTTCTGTTGAGTGTGGTCACACAAATGCGCGAGCAATGCGAGACTAACCGTGCCTGTCAAAAAAATCTGAGAGGGAACAGAAGCTCCGGAGGTTTTTGCTGCCTTTAGTATATCTGAAAGAGGTTCTCGAGATCTATACTTGAACAATTGCGTCTTATCCTTTGAATATACAATCCTAATTTTTTTGGACCTTGGATAGATTTTCAGCGTACCTTGTCAAGCTCGGATAAATTTGATGAGCGCATATAGAGATCAAGGATCAGCTTTGGGAAATTAATACTCAAAATATATTAATTTTCATATAGCCTCTATCTATTGTTGAGCAGTCCAGTTGGGTCCAGAAATTCTGTCAGACGAGGCACTACAGGCGCTCCCTGTCCAACTTCATTCTGTTCAACTTGAACGGCGTCAGCCCACCGTCCGATAGCTGCAAGGTGCCAACCACTGGCGCATTGTGAGACGGCCTCATAGAAGTCGGTCTTGAGGGAGTTTTCCTCGGCTTCTTCTGCCCACCGCGGCCAAAGCTTCAACTTTGCGGTATAAATCTTGCGAAGTTGTGTTTGGTCGTACTCCATCATATTGAGCCAGTACAACTCGCACTTCCCTTGATTGTCCAGCGCATCTTCGTCCTCCTCTGCAGCCTTCTTCTCACTTTCTGTCTCATCGCCATACTCGTCTCTGTCGGGCTCTTCTTCCCTGTTGGGCCCATACAAAAACGTGGGAGTGCCTGCCGCCACCCAGAGCGGCTTGACTGAAACACACTCCCAGTCAAGGACGGCAGTGATCTTGGCATCTTGGTCGATTAGAATGTTGGTCAAAGAGAGGTCATCGTGCCAAAGAACTGTGCGCTCAGCTGGGACGACCAGGCGGGGAAAGATGGTTGGAAGGAGAGACTCCAGCTTGGTGGCAAGCGCCAAGCACTTCTGAGCGTCGGCTTTCTCATCTTCATCATCCTCGTCGGGGGTCTCTAGCGCATCGATCCTTTTGACAATGTCGGTTTGCTCGTTGCGAATCAAGGCGAGATATGCCGCCAGCCAGTCATGGCTAGACTGGTACGGACCGCGAGGGATGTCGTAGTTGAAGTTGTCGCCCCAGAAGAAGGGCATCGCCACGATACGGCCCGGTTTGACGTCGGTGGCACTCGCATTGTCAGCGCAAATTGTGCCGATGGATCGAAACTTTGCCGTGTCATAGCTCTGTCGAAAGAGCTGGGTTTGAAAATCGGCAACCTGTTCAACGAACCACGTCTTCTCACACCACGACATGGTCCGCCATCGCTTGTAGGCGGGCTCGCCCTTCATCAGCTCCATCAGCATCCACTCAAATTCGATCTCGCTGTCTTGGGAGTCGTCGAACGCGATGACTCTGGGTACTGGCACATTGGTGAAGCGGCGGATCCAGCGCAGGGTGGCGACCTCGCTCCGAGTCTTGTGTTTGGGGTCAACGGGCAGCGAGACGCGCAGCAGCGATTTGCCAGACGACGTGTTGATGAGATACAGCTTGTTGAAGCCGCCCGCGGCGTAGAAGGTGACGGCACAAGGGTCGCTGGGTTCGATGGCCAATACACGTCGACAGACTGCCCCGATGTCTCCGATTTCGGGGTTTCGCGCCCAACGCGGCGTCAGGTCAAGTCCGCCGTCGACCCACACGAGGCCGTCGCGGGGATTGGGTGGATGGACTGCATCTGTCATTGTGGAGGTGATGAGAATGTCGCGGAAAAGCAGGGAACTGTGAATTGGGAATTGGCGATTGAGAGTTTTGGGAAAGGCCG